TTAGCAAGGATCAAAGTTGAGCTAGCTGAAGTGACATCTCTGTTCAGGCTACATTAGAACACTTGCTGTTTCCCCAGTGCATCATGTGCTCTTGGGCCTCTGTGTGGTGGCTCAGGATGGACCCTCTACCCAAAGTGTTACCTCAACACTTGTCTCGGTAACATTCTACTCATTGTTGAAGGTCATATTCTGTCTGAACGCTTATGTTCCAGCCTTCACTGAAGCCTGTTTCCCTGGCACCCACTTGTCCTAGCTTCTATTCTAGCAGTTACTATATGCCTTTATAGCTCTTTTGGTTTATATCTGTCAGAGCCCAGTAAGTTCCTTAAGGACAAGTATTTTCATTTCTTTCTGCATGCAATCAACATAGGCAGTTCCTGCTACTTGAAGGTGCCCAATAAATATTTGTTGAACGGGAAAATGAATTGATAAATGTGTTTCATTATTGGGAATCTGAACCTGAGGTTCTAGTAAAGCAAATCCTTTTTGGAAAACTGAATTAGCTCTTATATTTGCAGTGCTACTTTACACATGGGTGTTGTCTAATGTTTTGAATTTGATAAGTAAAGATTTTGTGATTTATTTGAAATAATGATGTGTATGGGGTGTCTACCATTTAAGCAGGAAAATAATGATCTGAGGTTTTCTTTGGTTTTAGACACTGTTTTTATTTTGTGGGTTGTTTCCTTACTTGACTTGATGAATTATCAGGAGAAAATGCCATTTTCCTAGGGCAGGTGAGTTGGTGTACTTTCATCTCAGTATAGCACAGATTTCTGGTAAAACTAAGGGTATTCAAAAGTCAAAAATCTAATGTAAAGTTCTTTTATCTTTTGTGGATTCTGGAGAAAGCTAATCAAGATTCTTGCTCTGATAACTCGATTCTTGAAGCACTTGAAGCCCTGCTTGCCTCTTTTAGAAGAGTTTGTGCACTGATCATAGTGTTCAGTAAAAGTTCATTAGGATAATGTGTTTAGTAAACATCATCTGATAATATAGGAATTAGTAATACCATCTCAGCCCCTAGTCATAAATTAGATGTATTGGTTTTTCTTTGAATTCATTTAATGTTAACTGATACGTGGTATCTAAACTGTATGCAAAATCATTCATTTTACATGAGACAAAGCCTTTGACAAACACAGTTCACTGAGGAGTGAACTTGTGGGCTGTTGGAGAGATTAGACATCTACATCCCTAATGGAAGTTCCATAAGAAAGGTACTGAATCTAGTTGCAAGGAATAGGGAAGACAACTTGAAGAAAGGAGCATTTGATCAAGATAAGATTTCAGTAGATGTAACTTATTGGACTCTTCCAGTTACCGGAAGCAGAAATGTGCTGTTTCTTGGGCTACCTCAATTAGTGAGGTTTACCGTAAGGCTCCATGGGGAGTAGGAAGGGCAGGAAAATACTCTCCGCAGCTGCCCAGGCAGGCCTCATAGAGAATCAGACACAAGCCCTGGTAGTGTGAGAGCCCGTCTGTCATCTCACCAAAAGTCAATGTCTGTGTCCTTCTTCAGTGGTCTGCATTGTAGTCACTTAGCTCTTCTCTGTCTTTTCCTCCATGAAGGCATCCTTTGTATCTCCATGACACTCCTCAAGAGAGAAAAATCTATCTTGGCTAATCTCCATTCAACAATGAGCACCCCCGCTACACAAAGCTCATGCCACCGCCTAGGCAGCTTACCAACTAGTGGATACGTGTTTTTGACTTAGGGACTCATTCCTGGTCCAATAAATTGTGGTCTGAGCGATGGAGTCACATGGTATAAAGCAGAGCCTCTCAAACTTTAGGATGCATACGAATCACCTTCGGACCTTGTGAAAATGAGCACTTTTGGCTCCAAGGTCTAAGGATTCATGAATTCACCAAGTTCTCAGGTGATACTGATGTTTCTGGCCCTGCAATCACACTTTGAGCCACAAGAACAGGGCAGGACGACTTCTGTGTGACTGTAATTACTAAGAAGGCAGGCACTCCATGTGGTGGGTCTATGGTTGTGAGATAGCATTTCATGTGGAAGAATAACTGTAAATAAAAGAGTGGAGGAAGATGCAGTGTTGATGTCTATATGTGTTTACATAAGGCCAATTTTGAATGTGTTAAGTTCAAAATGAATGAGGCATCTTCAGAACAAAAAATCTGGGACAATTTCACATGTAGTCTTTTAATACCCAAGTTGTTGGAGTTGGCTGTTAGTCCTTTTATGATTTTAATCCCAAGCAAATAGTGATTTTGATGTTTTCAGTGAGAGATAGCAATCCAGTATGAATTTAACTTATTCATATTCACTTGAGAGCCTGCCCCATAACTTTGGTCACAGTTTCCCACTAAGTCTGTGCTGTTGGTGAGGATTTGCAATAGGATCTGCAGTAGGACTTAGTTGTTTATTATGAGCCAGAGTCCCAGGGTGGAAACAACACGACAGATTCTTTATTATTCTGGTGCCTTAGGAGAATCATGCATTGCTTTAATTGTCTTCATTAGAGATTCACAAATGTGATAGTTCAGCACTTACTCACAAATCTTTGAGCCATTCAATGTCAGACATTTATAGAGCGAATCCCAGTTTCAAAGCATCTTTACATTCATTCTAATATTTCATAAATATAATCTAAGACTGGTTAAAAACTAGAGAGATCTTTTCAAAATGTTTGTTTAATGATGCTAGAATCTAGTGATTCAGAATTATGAATAACGTCCAGTAGAAAATAACTAAATTAACTATTCAGGTCTTCTGACTTAATGGTAGATGCCTAAGGAAAAGCAACTTTTTCCTACTTTCCTCATTTCATTCATTACATTCAAAAGGAAGGCTCCATGTGATATTTACATCTAGTCTTCATTGCTCAATGACAAATGGAAGTAAACATTTTGGAAGTAAACATTTTATATTGTTTTCTTAGCTGAATCTCATCTACTTCAACTTGTTGTCTTTTAAAAATGATTTATTTTAATTGTAATGATCAAAAAGGAAAAAAACAGTTATTTTAAATAACTAAATAGTAACATCCTTTTTTAAAAAAATTTTTTTTAGTTAAACCAAGTAGTTTCTCAATTTGTATAGAGTAGATCTTGAAAAGAATTTTCAAAGTTCACCTTATCTTGATGATCATGTGGAATTCTGACTTATTGAATAGTTTAATGACATGACCATCTTTGACTACTACATTTTTAAGTTGCCAGTTGTCAAAGAACAAATGCCGTTTGGTATAAGAAGTATAGTGAAAAGTATGCTAAATGTGGAGCCGGACAAACTCACGTTTAAATTCCTTCTTAACACATATTTTCTGTGTTACCTTCAGCAAGTGATTTAATCTATCTGAGTCTCATTTTCATCATCTGTAAACTGATGATGTTCATATCCACCTTCCAGCATTATTTTGAGGATGAAAATAAATAATGCATGTAACATATTAAGCATAGATATTACCATTGAACAGAATTTTAATAAATAAATAAACATGAAAATCTTTTAAGCCTTATGACAGAATGCCATTTTTATATAAAGTTAATAACAAAAGTACTTTTACTTCATATTTTCACAGGAAGAGCATTATCCATTCTTGACATAAGTGAAAATTACAGTGCATTGAGTTGTTAACAGAAGAGCTGTGATTGTAATTGACACTCAGCTAATTAATCTATATAGTAGAACCTCCATTGTCAAAAAAGTTGTTTTCCAAAAAATTAAGTGACAATATTGTGTATAGTTTACCAAAGGAAATTCTAACCTTTAAAATGTAGTCAGCAAATTCACATGTGCTGCAGTGACATGACATAGAGGAACAAAGAGAGTGGTCAGTTATAAATATAATTCATAATGAGGCAATTTATAATCCATTGTAATCACATGAGGGTCTGTTAAGTCAGGCTATACTCATATGCTTTTAGAGAGTTAGGAGTGGAAATAAAGTGTATGAATGGAATATTCCACTATCATTCAAAATAAAGGAAGTCAGATAAAATATCTTCCATGTCAAGCAGAAGACATATTCTTACCAAACTTACTGTCATATACCCTCCACATAGTGAAATATGAAGGCCCGTTTCTGATGGTTTTCTAAGTACAGGCCACAGGGCCACTATATTGATATATTTCTAATAATAGAATGCTTTGCATTATTTTTATAATTAGCCTCCCTTACGTTGGTAGCACACCAGGAGTATCCATTATTTTAGATGCTGCTTCATAGCAAATGCTGTTCTAGCAGTTTCTTACTGTGTTTTTGTTGTTGTTGTTGTTGTTGTTTTGAGACAGAGTCTCACTGTAGCCCAGGCTGGAGTGCAGTGGCACGATCTCGGCTCAACTGCAACCTCTGCTGGGTTCAAGAGATTCTCATGTCTCGTGTCATCCTCCTAAGTAGCTGGGATTACAAGCATGCACCAACATGCCCACCTAATTTTTGTATTTTTAGTAGAGATGGGGTTTCACCATGTTGGCCAGGCTGGTCTGTAACTCCTGACCTCAAGTGATCCACCCGCCTCAGCCTCCCAAAGTGCTAGGATTACAGGCATAAGCCACTGCACCCAGACTGCTACTGTGTTTTTTATTTGATGAAGCATCTGTGGGGCTTTTAAAAAATAAAATGAAATAAGCCATTCTTAAGAAGACAATGGAAATGGCTGGGTAATTCATTCAAGGGAAAGGTGAATTAAAGGGCAGCCTGAGTGTGTGGATTTGGGGCCTTGTGAGCCTTCAGGTTCAATCTGGGAGATTGCACTTAAAATCTGGGAGATTTTCCTAAAGCTAAATTGGTTTCCAGAATCAAATGTTTAACTCCAGGACAGCCTACAAATAGCCAAGTCATCCTCGCCAAAGCAGTTCTTTCCCCTAGTAACAGAGTATTCATATCTTAGTGTAGTTTTGGTCTTATAGAGGGGGAGGCATTTTAAATTATAAACTTTTAGCTAATTTCCCCAAGCATCACCTTCTTACCCTTTTAGACACTTTCAGTATGTCCACTAGTAATTAATATGATTTTTTTCTTACACAGATCCAGTGCCCTACCTGCCAATTCGTCTGGTGTTTTAAGTGCCACTCTCCTTGGCATGAAGGTGTTAACTGCAAGGAGTACAAAAAAGGAGACAAATTGTTGCGTCACTGGGCCAGCGAAATTGAGCATGGGCAGAGGAATGCCCAGAAGTGTCCAAAGTGCAAGGTGAGATAACTTTTAGAAGGAAAAGAAAAAACATGTACATCTGGATATGACTGAACAATATTTACAATATTGAAGCAAATTATAACTATCTTAATGCAGGTATGTAGAAAAAGAGTATTTGGTTTTTTATTTTAGAAAAGCAATTATATAATTAAACTGAAAATTTTTATAGATAAACAATATATATTCTTATTATTTGCATTACTCTTCAAAATTTAAGGAGGCCACATATAAATATTGACTTAAGATACTGGAGTCCTTATATTACATTTAAAAATGAGGATGTACTTTATAGGAAAAATATAGCATAAAAGTGATATAAAAGTATTATTTCTAGTCTGCCACATGTACTATAATTACTTCTTAATTACATAGGTTTTGAATCCTTGCAATCTTGCTTTTCTTTCCTTGGTGACATTGCTGATCACTTAAAAAATTATATTAAATTGAACTGATTGTTTTGCTTTTTTGCAAATCTGGTGAAATAAAAGCTCATAGCTAAAATCAGGACTTAGGGATTTTATGAATCCCACTTTTCATCTTTCTTTTGATAATCACGCAAGTAATGAAGACTTAGCAGGCAATTTGAGCTCAGACCTAGATGTGTTCAAAGTTAGCCAAGTAAACAGCGAGGGAAGACTCTCCTATGGGGAGGTCAGCCAGTAAATTCAACCAGAAAACTTTGCATTTGAGAGTTATAGTATAGGGGTCTGTTGAAGTTTGAAAGTTTTAAAAAATCTTACTTTAGAAAATCGTATGTTCGTGTACACTTTGCCATATGTGGTTTCTACCCTTTGCCAAATTTATTTTTGGAAAGAATCTCTAAATTGGCCTAATTATCTTTTAAGCACAATTCTGCAATTACTTCTTGGAGACTTATCACCAGATAAATGAAACTTGATTGCCAAAAAATGTTTAAAATTCAATAATTATGAATACAATTAGAAGTAAAAGTATATTCTAAGCCTATAAATGACCATAATAATAATAAATGTACAGATTTACTATACTAAATTCACATACTAGTTTATAAATATAGTAAGGAAAAAGTATTGTGTGAAATAACGTGTTACATTTTTAGCAATTGGAAGAAATTTTTGAAATAGTTTAGATGACCTGGCTTTCTAATAGAAGTGATGTCTAAAGATATTTGGCCTAAAGTTTTCTTTGTTTTCCTGGTAGAAGGCAAATTCATCCACAGTCACCCATTTTGTTTTAGGGCTATTTCAGATCACTGCATCAGTTGCTCAGTGCTCTCATTTTTCATTCCATTAAAGAACAACTAGAAAATGAGGCCATTCCCCCCTTTCTCTTTCGTTTTTAGTTTATTCAAAGCTACTGCTCAGTTTCAAACAAAACAAAGACCAATAGGGACTTAGAGTACTGTTAAGTTATTCTACTTAACAGTTATTCATAAGTGCACTTTATATCCTTTGGAAAGCTGTAAAAACAATTACAAGTTAGCCTGGTTCTACAGCTGGATTTGGAATGAACACCACTACAGCATTATACATTGGGGAAATTCTGAATAAACTGATGTAACACAAAATACATACATTTATTACTGTAATCTGTTAACCCAACCTTAAATGGACTATAATGTAAGGAAAGAAAAAGAAGCCAACCATGGGGAATTTACTGATTACTCTAACACCTTCCCACAGTTGTAACAAATGTAGATCAACTGTTAAGAGAAAGCATAAATGTTGGTTCCCTTTTGAAGTAGTAGCTAAAAGGTCAGGGCTTTAAAAGGGATTACCTTTTAAATAGCTGAAAGGAAAAGAACTATGGAATCAGTTGACATTATTACATTGTAGCGGAGAGCCTACTTTCTGGTGGGATTTGGGTTCTATGAAGTTTCTGTCTAAGTCATATTTTATGATTTATTTGGAGTATAAATGGTTTCATTTTTCTTTCTCTTTTAAGCGTGACTTTAAAACTTTACCTTTTTTGTTGGACCTTAAAATTACGTTTTGCCCCATGAAACATTTCTATTGTTATAACAGAAACCCGTGAGGAGGTATTATTCAGTGAATTGATTTTTGTTTTATACTGTAAGGCTTTCTTTTCATAAATATATCTTTTACCATTTTTAAATGTAAAGTAGGAAGATGATAGGAATTTGTGAAAAAGAAATGAAGAAGTTCTCACATAATGCCTCCAGGTAAACAATTATCACATATTTTCATATAAATGCTTTCAATCATGATAACCAAATGCATTTACAATTTTGTTATGAAAGTATATATATTTGTACGCTACTATAGGTATATGTTTTAAATTAGTTCATAATTTTAGTAAATATTGTTATTTATTTATTTTGAGACAGAGTCTCGCTCTGTTCCCCAGCCTAGAGTACAATGGCACTATCTCAGCTCACTGCGACCTCCGCCTCCCAGGCTCAAGCAATTCTCATGCCTCAGCCTCCCAAGTAGCTGGGATTACAGGCATGAGCCACCATGCCTGAAAAAAAAAAAAAAAAATTGTTTTGTTTCACCATTGTGGCCAGGTTGGTCTCAAACTCCTGACCTCAAGTGATCCACCTGCCTCAGCCTCCCAAAGTGCTGGGATTACAGGTAGGAGCCACCGCGCCCAACCATATTTTGATTTTCAGATGATTTATTTATCAAGGTGATATAACATCAGATAGAAATTTGGAAAAGAGAGGGAAAATATTCACCCAGAATTCTGCTGCTCCAGTATACTCACTCCTAACATCTTATTGTGTGCCCTTGGTCTTTCACCCTATTTAAATGGCTTTTTAAAAAGCTTTAGTTGTGATGTTCAAATAATTTAATATCATTAGTATTTTCACCTAACATTGCAAACATTTCTCATATTACTAAATAGTTTTCAAAACATATATTTCATTAACTATGAACTGTATAACACTTGCTTAAATATTCCTCCACTATTGGATACCAAGGCTTGCTTGGTTTGTTCTGGGAATAAAAAATAATTGTGTATTATAAATAATGTGTGGATGATATTCATCTAGAATTTTTTTTCCATATTTTATACCTTTGAAAGGATATATTTATAAAGGTAGAATGATTGGGTTAAAGAATATCCAAGTTTTTAGTATTTAGCACATATTGGCAATTTGCTTTCTAAAAGGAATGAATCAATTTATAATTCCACCTAGAAAGTTTGAGGACCTGTTTCAGTATGAGCATTTGTTGGCATTTTAAGTGCTTTTTAAATATTAATTTAATAATTTTAAAGTATTTTTTCTTATATTTTATATTTTCCTGTTTGCTTGTAAGCTGAATATAAATTCATGTATTTTTGAGTTTGTAATGCTCCATTTTAAAATTTTCTGTTCATACCCTTTGCCCATTTATGTGGGTGCATATTTTAATTTTCAGATGATTTGTTTATCAAGGTGATATAACATCAGATAGAAATTTGGTGCATATTTTTATTATCAAATTATATGAGCTCTTTATTTAGATATTTAAATTCCACTTCTGGC